TCCCCCTCCGGAGCTTTTCTTCACCTCTCAACTTCGAGCGATCTCTCCTTATCTCGCGAGACTTGCGCGGACGTGTACCTATATACACACGACACGGACGACGACCACGGCCGACTTGATATAAAGTATCGCGTGCAGGTGTCACCCGCTACAAATGCTCTCGTTCGCGTTATCTCCGGCTAAAATCTTTTTTTTTTTTTTTTTTTTTTTTTCCTCCGAGAGCTCCTTTGACTCTGTATACACACGCGTGTTATGTACTGCACGCTCCCCCTCTGAGCATTCATCACTTGCAGCGAAAAATCAGTCGCTCGAGCCTTTTTTTTCCCTCCTCCCTTTTCGTACTTGATTTCGTATCTCAACTTTGGTATACGTGAGAAAAGGAGCTCTTTCTCTCTCTCTACGTATATGAAAAGGGATGAGGGAATGTTTTCCGCGACGTGGCTCTTTTTATTTGCCCTTTTCACTAACGTGAACAACGAGAGCGGAGCTGGATTCTCGATGGTTTTTGGAATTCAAAATTTATTTAATTTAGTCGACGAGCGCGTGTAAATCTCTGGAATCGATGATAAAATAAAAGGGTCATGGGTACCCATGAAACTATACCATCTACGCCTTACGTAACGAGAGCCAAAGAGAAAAAACATGTAATTGTAAAGTATAAATTTGCAGTTATCTGTCGGGATAACCAGTTGGTGGTGGTTAATAAATCAGTCGCGCGACAGACAATACCCATACGTGCCCCGGACATTGATTAGACGCCATACGCGTTAGCGCACATTTGTACGATTTAATTTATTGGTCCGATTGCAGGTCGCGATTCATACGCGCCAATTAAAATTTTACGCGTATATATAACAACGCGAGAGAGTGATAAGCGATGTGTAAGCCATCGGGCAACGAATAGAGTTCTTTCGGTAATGCAGTGCAAATTGTTGCTGCTTTTTTCGTTTTCTGTACGTAGATTCGAGCAAGTGGCATAAGAGACAGTCTCACAGAGGCCCGACAAAGGAAAAACACGGTCCAAAGTGTATAAAGGTTGACGGCCCACTCTCGGGCCGAGCGATGGTAATTGAGCCATAAGCCCCTTTCCCGGTGAACACACGCACACACAAATAATTTCAACGCAGTCCCTTGTTTAGCGTGTATATAATATATAATAATATATTGTAAGAGGCTCATAATTTAAAGCTCGTGCTTAATTAAGATGCGCGGAGAGGCTCCAGGGACGTTCGCACGCCGACACGTATACGCACACAAGCCGGAGTTTTCTACTCGTAGGTATATATAGTGCCGCTCCTACCGTTTGACAAACGTTTTTCTACGCTCCGGACTTTGATTTCTCGGAAGAGAGATGTGCTGGGATATACCCGAGGCATTTAAAAAAAATTTTTTTTTTTTTTATATTTTCTCGGAGTTTTTTTTTTTTCTTCATTTTTTAATGAGCGTCCTTTGCGCGAAACGAAGACGTTCGATGAGAGCGGACAACCGCGTTGAAAACCCTAGATTATTTTTAATACGCTCGTGTGAATCGAAGAAAAACAAAATTTTTTTTTTTTACCGATCCAGTGCTTTCTATTCCGAGAAATCATCTCGTCGTGGGTAAGTATGTACACATACATATATAAATTTACATCCCAAGTCGGGCGCAACTAACTGTTCTCGGTGCCAAAGCGATGGTCCGTATATATACGCACGCGATTAAAATAAATTTAATCCCGCGTGGCTCGTTATATCATACACGGTTTTACCCGATTCCGCGTATACCCAACGATACGATCGAGCGCGGTTTTCGTTGATTCGTAACCAATTTTCTTTTTTTTTTTGTTTTTTTTTTTTTTTTCCCTTCGGGTGCGTCAACCGCGACCGATCGACGTATATTCTCGACGAAAAAATTTCCCCGCACGTTTTCGACTCCCCACACGCTCCATATACACACGTAGCGGTCGCACTTGATAATTGCGTACCGCGTCAGGGGTGGGATGCACGGCATTAGCATCGGCGATGCTCTTTGCGCTCGCGTGGGTTCGCGAAACGGGAGCAAGCATAGATGAAAGGATCCCGCCCAGGAGTAGACGCCGCGTCCCCGACAAAGGCACGCGAGCGCATACATATGTGTGTTAAATTCAATTTAATGATACAATTTAACAGCAGCAGTGCGGCGTATACACCATCAAGGATCGGACGCGCCTCGGTCGGTGGATCTCGCGCTTTTTGCGGCAAAAAGAAAGAAGGGGGGAGGAAAAAAATGAGTCCAGGAAGACACGGGGCCCGGTAACGATGCTCTTTACGCGCAGGCGATTTTTACGACGAAGCCAGCGGGCCGGCTCGGTACGTCACGCGAGCACCGGCAGCAGCGTGAGCACGTCCGCGTGAAATTCAATGAGAATCGCTGCGAATTTTACGATCCTTGTATGCCGAGCGCAACCTCGAGGCGCGGGTAAATTAGGCCCCCTTGACGCGTTTGCGGAGCGCTTTGATTCATCGGACTTCTCTATCCCCGAGACGCGCGAATTTTCGAGCCTTAAACTGCACTTCGACGAACCGATCCGGCGCGCGTACACGAGTGGGATGCAATTTCTCTTGGAATCATTTAACAGGAAATCGTTGAGATCGGCGGCCGTTCGATAGAGCGATCAAAGAATCGGCGGGAGAATTTGGGGAAAGAAAAAAAAAAAAAAAAAAAAACGGTAGCGGAGGCAAGAGCCGGTAAATCATCGCAAATGGTATATACATCTCGGGCGGCGGTCGAAGGACGGAGCGTAATTTTTGGATTTTTATATTTGCCCCTCGCGATTTCCGTGGAAGCGCTACCGATGTGCGGTGCAAGGGGCGTGCTCTCATTAGGGAACGGTACCCCTTAACCACTAATTCGCGGGATAGAGGCCTCGTCTGGCCTACAAAAATCCCAATTGGACGTAATTTAGCCTCCCGGGAGCTGCCGCATAAATCGACGCACCGTTCGTTTTTTTTTCCCTCAATAATGACACTCGCTCGCTCTCTCCTTATCCTTTGAAAAATTGCCGAGAGTTCCTCTTCGGGTATATTGTACCTATATACACACGTCGCGGAGAATCTAGTTACACACATCGGCCCGGCGTATTATACCCCGAACGGGGCCCTAAGAGATATATACCCACAGGCACGACCGGACGTCGCAGGGCAGCGACACGCGATGCGTCGCCCGTAATAACCACGTCTTTCGGAAAGCATATCGTGACGGGATATGACGATGCCAACCCAGAGATGGGCGCCAGCGCTCCTTTTTTCCTCAACCCTCGTCCTTCCACCGCTACTATATAGTGCACATGTATATCTACACCATTCGTCGGCGGAGACCTTGCGTGCCGACTTACGCCATGTACACACACACACACACACAGAGGTACACCTGTACGCGCGCAAGGTCCCTCGCGGTGGAGATAATCAAGATGCGCGCAGGGGCTAAACGACACCTCTCGGCAGAGCCGCGGTGTATATAATATATGTAAGGAGCCCGGCATCATGACACACGCGACCCCGTGTGTATCGGGGCTCCCGATCTGGCCTCCCCTGCCGCGACGCGGGCCCTCCAGCGAGAAAGATAGCGGGGAGATTAGCCACGTCCTTGATGCGAGCCAACGCCAGCCCGGAAGGATTTTTCATACCCGCGAATGTGGATATACGTACCTACGAGCTGTAGGAGCTCCCTCTTGTATTTATCGCGCTGGAAATCGCAGATGCGTCTTTTCCCCCAAAGGAAGAGCTTAGCTGTTTTTTTTTTTTTTCCTTCGCAATCAGGTCGCGATTCGTTTTTGTCTATACACGAGCCAATAGGTTGTTGCGGGCATTGTTACCGCGATCCCGTTATGCCTTTTACCGGCCATTGTGTAACGGCAACAAAAGTGCGTCCACGATAGAAGTGTATCGCGGATCTCTGTAAAACCACCCTCGTCGCAACGAGAGAAAGAGTATACAATGAGCGTGCGCACCTGTGATATGTCGAGATTGGGTTTTTCAAGAAAATTACGAACAATGCCGGGCCGCGGAAAAAGTGTCGGAGGGGCACGGAGGTCAGGCCCTTGGCGTCCTTGATCCAGACGAGCTAGACGTACCTGTGCACGTATATATAAGTACACATCGGACGGAGGGAACGAGGCGTATGGTAGATGGTTGGTGATTTACTTATCGGGTATCGGCGCTTCGCCGGAGGTAAATGGCCGAGTCGTGACCACGAGAGCCCCCCCCCTCCTCCTCCTCCTCTTACTCCCTCCCTCTCGTCCTTGCGATTCGACCCAAAGACACCAGCAGTGGGTAAGGAAGAAACCGGCCATACGGGGAAGAGTGGCGCCGTGTGGGGCCTCGATTCTTCCTTCCGACCCTCCCACGTGCAACCCCATCATGAGAAATTGTCTCGGGCACGATCTGTCCGTCCGTCTCGCGCCGATTCCCAGGAAAAATTCGTACCATGACCCACAGGTCACGAATATCACGGCAATAAAACAATCGCCCGAAGATGCCATCGTAGGCGACAGACACGACAAAACCAGACTAATGAGTACATATACTTGATCCCAAAAGAAAAGAAAAAAAAAAAAAAAAAAGGCACACAATATCGTATATATATATACACACGCAGCATCTCGTTGTACGGGTTGTTAATTAAAAATTAGAGCCGCGATTTTTCCGGGCTCGCGCGCCGACTCATCGCGATAGCGCCCACCCGATTGTTGTTACCCGTAAATGGAGCGCGGACTGGCATAATGAACCCTCCCGCTTTTCTCACCTCCCCCCACGTGAGAGAATTCCAAAGTGCGCAAGAAACGTATAACAATTATAATCCTCCGAGTTTCCATTATATGTATTGTAAGTATACACACGAGGAAACAATAATGACGCGGTGTTTAAATGACTCTATTTACCATTCAAGGGAGAGATGATTAATGGCACGCCGAGCCGAGGATGGGAGGAAAAAGAAAAAGAAAATGTCAAGAACATAATATATATGTATGTACACAACTCACCGATAGTAGTCCTTTTTGCAGTAAATGTTGCCGTCCTTGCTGTAGCAGGTGATCTCGTTGTCGAGGCCCTGCCTGCAATGGGAGCACTGGAGGCAGGACAAGTGCCACCTTCTGTCGACCGCCTGGAGAAAGTACCGATCGGCGATCCTGAGGCCGCAGCCGGCGCACACGTACGGGCCGGCGCATAACTCGTGCTCGTGGTGCGACGGCGGCGTCGACGGTGGCTCGAGCTTCGGCACCGCGTGCATCTCCCCGCTGTGCTGATGCTGTAGCTGAGCCACCTGCTGCTGGTGCTGCTCCGAGGACGGGTTCGCGGGTAAACCCTGCGACTGGTGCAGTATCGTCTGCTGGTGGTGCTGATGGTGCTGCTGGTGATGATGATGATGCTGATGGTGGTGGTGGTGGCTCTGCGGTGCCATGCTCAGGTCGTTCGGGTGCTCGTAGTTGTTTCGATACTCCGAGTCTGAAAGTCGTGCAAACACGTTTTGCTGTTTCACCGATCCACGTTACTTTTTTTTTTTTTTTTTTCTGCTATACACAAGCGCTGCGTCCTCTCGACACCTTTAAACGCACCATAGGTGTTTCATCGCAAATTCACAAGCGAAAAGTTTATTGTGGGAATAACGAGGCCCACCGGGTGGATTAATTTCTTGACTCGTGTAATGGCACCGGGCGACGTCATTACGCCACAGCAGGTTGCGTACACGCCTATATTTATGTACCTACTTTTTGCTTCTTCCTCGCGCTATTGTGGAAGAACAGAGGAAAGGAAAAAAAAAAAAAAATGAAGGTTCGCGCCATGAGAACCATTCGAAGATTCTTCTTACGCGCCTTTCACCCGAGACATCCCCGTATCCGAACTATGTAATACATATATACGTGTATAGGTAGAAATGGGTAGTTGGCCGTTGCCGCGGGAACCGAAGGAGGTGCGAGAAAAAAAAAAATAGGTGCACCGCGGCGACGACCAAGTAGTACATAGGTGCACGTAAATGCGCCTCCCGCAGCTCGAGGGGTCGGGAACGCCTCGGTGGCCATTATCCGAAGGGGTGTGATTATTTTCATTAAATGACAACCGTTTTCTTACCGCGTACATGTGAGCTTGATTTGGAGTATCGACTTGGCAAAAAAAAACAAATAAAAGACAGATACCGATGTCGGTAGATGTATTATTTCCCAACGTTTTTTCAGTCGGTTAATCGGGGCTTTTCACATTCACCGTTCTTTATGAGGGAGCATCTTGTGTTTTTCGAACTTTGGTCATTCGTCGAGGTAGGACACCGTATGGTTCTCGGTTTGTCGATCGATCCACAAAGCCAGCCTGGCCGTATGTCCGCATTAAAAGGATGTTATGAAAAAAAAAAAAAAAAAAAAAAAAAAAAAAGTTCTCACGGCCAAGAGCGGCGAGGTTCGAAAAATTGCAGCCTACCTCCCGGTGATCCGTAATCCCTGGAATCGTAGGGGGTAGCGCCGGCAGCGTCGTAGCAATTATTATTGGTACCGCAGTGCGTCTGGTGCAAGCTCGTGTGACCGGCTTGGCCGCACTGCTGGTGTTGCTGTTGCTGTTGTTGCTGTTGTTGTTGTTGGTGGTGGTGGTGAGACTGTTGCTGCTGCTGCTGCTGCGGTGTGGGACTAGAGGGTAGGTTGGTGGGCCGCGCGGCGTCGCCCATCGAGGCCGGCAGGCACGGGCTGAGGTCGCGCGTCTGATCGGAGCTGCCCGTCCCCACGACCACCGCCCCGACGACCCCGGCTCCCGGGCCACCCTGGCAACCCAGTGACAAACCACTGCCGCGCTCCTGCGTGTTAGCCGGCTGCTGAAACAAAAACGATCATATTACCCAATCGTACCTCTTGCGTTATTTCGTTGCTTATGTACATTTTATTTTTATCAACATCTTGTAGATATCCATGCATTTCAATGGGTTTCAGTGTCGAAGCTGACAAAAGTTGCGCATATGCGGAATCAGGCAGCCAAACATCAAAAGTGGGTGAGTAAATATACTTTTGATACATATACGTGACATGTACACGAGGCACGTTTTCATCAACCAGATACTTGAAATAACGTATACGTGCACTTTGCACGTAATAGTAATAATAATAATAATAATAATAATAATAGTATAATGTAAGCCAGAGCGTCAATTAACCCGTTTAAAATGAACAGACGCGAGTCTGGTGCTCGTCGAGTGCAGCGCGTTATAAATATACATCATCGAAATCCGCGCCCAGTGGTATATCGTATACATGTCCCGACAAGTGCACTGTGCGAAAGAGCAAACGGCAACGTCTCTCCGCGCCGATATCTCGATAGCGGGGCGTCAATGATCCGCGATGTGTAATCTGCCGTTATACTTGAGAAGCCTTTGTCGGGCCTATTTGCACTTTGAGCTCGGAAAATTTATGCAGCTCTGGCGCGCGTGACGAGAGGAGAATATACGAGGGTATACCCGTTTCACCTTTACCAGGGGGAAAATCGGCAACAGACGAGTGTGCGTGTATAGTTAAACACGAGCCTTTCCACGAAAACAATTATTCCCCCCCCCCCTTATAACAATACCTTTGAAATATAAACAATTTCGGTCAGTTTCATCCCTCTCGATGACATTCAATCTATACCGTCTCTTGGCAGATCTTGCGCAACTATCCCGGAGCCCATCGGTATACACCCAACATTCCCATATCAATGCATTCTCTGTTGATCCATCGCAGTGGCGCATGCGCCGGTCACCATCACCCCAGTGGTCGTATTATATTTACAGGAGCCGTGTATATATGGAGAGTGGCCGTCGGTCTCTCTCTACCCACCTACCCCCTATATAAGGAGGTATACCCTACTCGCGAGAGCAGCCTCTTCCACTATATGCTGTACGTATGTTTACTTACTCTCCTTTCCAACCAATCCACTGCGCCAGGGCACCTCGTTTATTCAAACGTCAGCGGCACGTATATACCCGACCAGAGTCTCGTATAGCTGTTGTTGTTATTATTATTATTATTATTATAACATACAGTCGCAGCACGCGCTCCTCCAACGTTGTGTGTGGCTACCCGATGTAAATTATCGCCCGAGCCGCTCGGCTGTGATACCCATGTATAATATGTACATGCTGTATAAGCTACACCGGTCCCTGTATAAATACACGCATGCAGCTTCGATGGGATAAATTTTACTATTTGTATATATACGGTATCTCCCACATGCCTCCCTCTAACTCCAAGGGGTAGAGGGTAAGCGTCTATGTACGGGTACGCTCTCGGGAGAAATCGTTACGTGTTTATTGGCTCTCTCGCGGTGTGAAATTTCGCGTGGTCACTTTTTACGAGTATATACAAAAAGTAGGGGAATAACGGCCTTCTCCTATGTACGCGCACCCGAGGAATTTAGCGATGCTGCTACCGTGTACGCGTTGTAGCGATGGACACGCGGAATAATCATCGCGGCTGTCACGCAAACACTGGTATATATATATATTTATTTACGAGTCAATCGGACCAGCCCGAAATGAAGCCATCGATAGGTCCTTTACAGCAATCGTTTCCCCAGCCATACCATCCAAGTGTACATGGCCTGCGCGGTGTGGTACAAGGATGTAAAAAAATACAGCCGAGGTGTGTGTGTGTGTGTGTGTGTGTGTGTGTGCTCCAGTTCACGGCGCGAGATTTTCACCGCGAAACTCTTGCACAAGAGATCTCTTTTTCTAGCGGTGCAGGAGAAAAATGTATGTGTGTACATGTAGCTCCGCGTAAAACGTTGCGCCAAGTGAGCCGTGAAACTGTCCATTTCGGGCTGAGCCGATTCGTGTTAAAAGTCGAGCTGTGTGTGCCGCGCGGAATTGCAAAACGAGACGCACACGCGTCGATGGCGCACCTGCGTCGAGTGTACCTCGAGATTTTCCCTCCGTTTTGCTGGGAATGGCCGAGTTTCTTTTTTCGACAAATCGATGCGTGAATGGGTATGAGCTTTCTCTTTGCTGGGGGAAAAAAGAATCGATTGAAAATTTTATAGAAATTACATTGAGATCGGTATGTAATATTAGGCCCAAATTGGCACTTTTTTCTTTTGCGATAAGCGATAAGTACAAACTTTGTCGACTCTCTTTCTCTTTCGCCTGTCATCGCTCGTCGGACGTTAACTCTTTTTATTATCACTGCGGCACAATTATGTCACACTTTGTCGTGCTTTTGCTTTACAATCGTGCGTCCAAAAATTCGCAGTAGTCATTCAGAGGAAAAAAAAAAAAAAAAAAAAATATACACATAAACGTCTTATCTCCTTCATGCGTTTTAAAAATATACGAAGAAGGTCAATTTAGAGAGCAGCTGATTAGGTTTGAGAAAACCACCAATTTTCAACTCAAACTTGCTCATTTCGTGTTCAACGTTTTGCCTACGATATTCATAATTTTATTTTTAACTCCATCGATCGGCACGTGTTCGAGTTTGAAACCTCATGCGCTTCTAATGGAATTTTAATCGAGGCTCTATCAGTCCTCAACATGACCGAGCCGCTGCGAGTTCAAAGTTTCGTTCGATTAATTTGATTCGATAAAAATACAAAGTATTTCAAGCAAAATCAGCAAGCGAATCGGAAATTTAAATACCATTTCTTTGTCGTTTAAAAACGATCCAAGTCGGGAAATTCACCCTTCACGTACATTTATGTGTTTGGCATGAGAGTAAAAATTAAATTAAATTTTTCGAGGCCCACAACTACTGTTTAATATATTTTTTTGTTCTATCGAATAAAAAATGTTTGACCAACGTGAAACTGTAGATAGAAAAAGGAGAACCCAAAGGCGGCACACGCAGAGTGCACGTACACGTCGTGTGGTCCACTATCGGCTTCCTCGAGTTGGAGCCGAACGAGAAAACACACGAGCGCCTACCGATGGAGATAACACCCGGCCGGTCCAGCTCGCCCGTCCCTCATCCCCACATCCTGGCCACATGAGTTTTTCATCCAAAACCCATCCAATGTATACATATGTATACGTATTCCGGGCACTTGGACCGTTCAATTCAAAACGAACCTAATTTTAACGAGACCACGTATACGTATACAGCTATACGTAGCTATATAGTCACCATCGATCACTGTACTCCAACTATATAGCAGCATCATTGTCACCATGCATCTCTCAACTGGCTCCTTTATTCCTCCACTCCCAGGTTATATACGTGATTGTGCGACCAAAGTCGTCGCGTAGGTGGTACGATAGCCCTCGTCCGGAGAAGAAGAGGAAAGCTCTTGCTCCTTTGTTCGTCGGGGGAAGGGAAGGAGTTTAGCCACTTTGGGCCGTGTGTACGCGTATATAGCTGCTACCGGTGTGATCGTAAATATTCCGTGGGACACACGTATATACCAGCAGCTTCCATGCACTTTCCGGATGTAAGTGTGTGTGTGTGTGTGTGTGTGTGTGTGTGTGTAATGAATTACAGCCGCTTATGTTCCTCCTCCTGCCGTGGTTCATGTAAATTTCGGCGCGTACGCTGCAACCGCGCGAACCAAGGACTCAAAGGTATACATTATATAATATACATATATGTGTGTATAGGGCTCCGATCGTGTTTTTGCGCGCGTGCACACGGACCGCTTGCTTATGAGGGGACTCCGTAGGGGTGCTGCTGCGTTCCGAGTTTCCGAAAAATTCATCGGCCGCGATTGATGCTTCGAAATGGCCAGTTGCGTACTTTTACACGGGAATAAAGTTTAAAAAATTACATTCCCTCCAAAGTTTAAATTTACCCGCATAGCACGATACATATACTTATTTACAACACGGGGAGCACAAATCTCGGGAGATGCTAACAGGCCAACAGGAGCCCACTGGGCCCTTTCTATATATATCTCTCGTTGCTTCGCTTCGTCTTGTTATGCTCGCAAAAGTTTCTTCCTCCTCCTCCTCCTCCTCCTCCTCCTCGCTCGTATATTTTAAGGCTGCACGGAATAGGTGTGTATATATATTTCCCTGTAATATCCCCGCGAACGCCTCGTAAGTATAATTAAAGGCTTCGCGTATACGCGCGCATACATATATATATATGTGCATATATGTATATACGTGTAATGTACGATATGCGCCTTTTCAACCGCACTTACGCAACTCACTCATCCGTGCCTAATTGTTCCCTCGTTCGCATATATATATA